AATATATATATATATATATATATATATATATATATATATATATATATATATATATATATATATATATATATACCAGTAAATAAAACAAAACAAATAAATGTTATCCATTCGTTTGCTGTAAGATTGTTCACACGGTAATTATAAAAAAAAAAGCGAGGAAATAATCGAGCAAATAATTTTATTGCACATTTTTAGGTGTCATCTTTATACCCTTTCTATCGCTCCGACAACTTAAGATTGTTTCGTTCCGCGGTCTCCTTTAGGATATTATCACAACCCAATCCAATATATTTGATGATGATTGAAAAAGGATAGGGGAGAAGATGGAAGGATGGAAAATGATCGGGCAACATTGCGCATTCCTTCTTCCTTTGTTGTCCTCATATTTCATTAGTGACAATTATTTGAATGATTGAGGGAAACATATGTTGCTAATTTCTAATGAATCTCAAAAGTTTACTTCTTAATTAACTGAAAAGTTTTTCAAATATTCCATGTAATTGTACTTTTTGAAACAATTTGTTTTGCAAAAATGTTTTGTCGTTGAGCAGTTAAATTAATTTGATTCGTTTGAAATTGGTGTTAACTTTTCGGCTTGATAAAAGCATTCTACAAATATGCATCATCATCGACGACACTATGCATCATTTTAATAAACTGTCAAATTTTATAGACTTGATAGAAAACGAATTAGTTCGATAAAAATTAAATTAATTAACATACCATTATATACTGCCGAAACTAGCAATTTCTTTCCCTTTTTCTTTATTATAAGGCAACATTTAATAATTTAAAAGCATACGAAATCGGACTTGAAAAAATCAAGTTTAAACTTAGGAAAGTTTTAATTGAGTAATCTAAACTTGTTTGCCAATAAAAATATTGAACTGCTGGAAAACATTTCCCAATTGAAGTTTTTCATTCATTTACTTAAATTTCACCATAACATATTAACCACATAATCTTGATGTCATTTCCCTTTTGTTTGAAAATTTTACAAAATTATTTGAAATTTAAATTCGAAATGTTTTACAAAAATTTCAGTGACTAGGTCGGGTCCATTTGGTCTTTTTCAACTTCCAGCAACATCAACTTCTACGGCAACCGATGTTGTTCGTTTACCAGCAACTCCCGTACCCAATTCCATGTGTTTATCACCAAATTCATTATCTTTAAATAAAAAGCAATCAAGGCCCACATTTACCGGTCATCAGGTCAGTTCTATTCTTACGGTGACAGCATCTTGTTTAAATCATTCCAAAAATTATCATTGCTGTTTTTCACTTCTTCAAATACTTTTTACTTTAGAATATCCAGACAGATGAGTTGTTTGTTCCTTTCTAATCTATCCCCTTATTTGGTGACGTCTTTTCATTAATCGATTTCAATGATATTAGGCTATCATCGCATTATTTAATTATCATTCCATGCTAATTTATTCCGCTGTATTTTTTTTTTAAAGATTTTTATGCTGGAAAAGAAATTCGAGCAAACGAAATATCTAGCCGGATCAGATCGGGCTCAACTTGCTCAAGAATTAAGCATGAGCGAAAGTCAAGTGAAAGTAAGCCATTCGAATTAATAGTAATTTTTCATTTTAATCGTTAGATTTTACGGAATGAACGAATGAGATTGGATCATTTCAACTTCCCCAACCAATAAAAAAAAGAAGTGGTGAAAACTTTTTTTTGCAAAAATTTTCTCTAATTAATGGTTTTACATAGTGTGTTTATGGCCAAAGATTAGATGTTCCAAATGACCGTAACCAAAAGTGTTCCTGCCATTTAAACATGTCTTTCTGCATTGAATTGACAATCATTTAAGCGCTATTATCAAATTAAAATTGAATTTAATTTCATCTTCTAGCTAATGTTTTATAAATTTTTTTCATTAAATAATTTTTGTTAGGTTTAAAATTTTTTTCCAATTACTTAGCAATCATTTATCAATCCAACAAGTTTCATTAAATTCCATCAAAGTTTCAAATTCCCAACTTTTAAGTTTCATTAAGTTAAATTCATGATTAAAGCATTGTGTAGAAAAAAATTGCTGTAATTCATAAATAGTGTAAAAATGATAGATTGATTTTATAAGGAAAAGCAAATTTCACAAATTTATTTTCCATCAACTGTTGCATCCTAAAGTAAAACGGAGTAATACAGTGGATAATAACTACATCTGTCCGATACACAAACAGATGCTTGCATAAATTAGTGTCATATGCCGGAAGACATCAATTGAATGAATGATTAATTGCAATACAACATTTCTATCAGATCCCCAAAAATTATCATTAAAAAAAAAATTCTCCTCTATGAAAGGCTCCACATTAGAAAGCATTTGATTTTAAATATTCACACAACTTGAAGTGTCACCAATCTCAAGTAATATAACTTTTTCTTTTTACTAATAATTGTTAGTATTACTTTTATAATTTTAACTTAATATTTTCATAATTTTACAGTTCTAATTCAATATATTTTATCACTCCAATAGTTTATCCCAAATGGAATAAGCTAAACAGTACTATTAATTTAGCTCTTGAAAGATATATCTTTTGCTTCCAATAATTATCAATTAATTATCAATTCAACAATTACCAATCTAACCTTACATCGTAATATTGTATTGTTACTTTTATTGAGCATATAAAGATTTTATGATAAATCCACAAATTTATATAATTTTAAAGTCATAATACATCAATGATAATTCCTGGAATGATAACAAAAAGTTAACGAAGAGTTTGTTGGTGTAAGTATTGATTGTTGATTAAATTCAATAATATGATCAATTTTAGTTGAATTGATAAAAATTGCATTATAATTTTCAATATAAATAAATGTAAACACACACACACACACACACACACACACACACACACATCAAATAACTATCTCAAATGGGTACATAGTAATAATAGTAATATTCTCTTTTAAAATTCAAATTGATTGTTGAAGCAAATAGATTGGTAAAAGAGAATTGATTGCAATTCAATTCAAATTCAATCAACAATTTGATCATAATTCGATGCTCCATTCATCAATTCATTCAATCATCATCATATCGTCCTCTCTTCCTTTTCTCCTCTTTTGTGTCGATACGTTATCTATCAAATTTGCTATGTTGTTTGAATAGAAATAAAGGTAAAAAGGGAAGCACCGACAATTCCGCCTTTCTCTCATTTCTTCTTTCTTCCGTTATAATGGCATATATATTTTATTGCAACATTCTGAAAAGTAATGAAATGAAATGATTGAAGGGATTGAGAATTGTTATGAACGAGAAGAAGAGAGGGAATTTATTTTTAAGGTAGCCAAAATTTATTTATTGATTTGTTTTTTCAAGAAAAAAAATTTTAATTTGAAAGCAAAATGAAAGAAAAATAAAATTTGAAATTCGAATGAGTTATTATTCAAACTTTGAAGGAAAAGAAAGTAATCAATGAAAAAAAACCATAATAACAATAGGGAAGCACTTTTTCCGCCTCATATCATATACTTTTAAATAATCTAACAATATGATCATTTGTACAACATCTTAGAACTAATTAACATTCTAATAGATTGGCGAATATTTCTAAAAGACAATGTTTTAACTTAGAATTAGTAACTGAAATTAAAACTATCCATTTCTCTCTCTCTCTCTCTCTCTCTCTCTCTCTAGAA